AATATGCAGTTTATTCAATTTGTTACTCTCCTGATGGAAATACATTAGCATCTGGTAGTGATGATCACTCCATCCGTTTATGGGATGTTAAGACAGGAGAAGAAATCGTCTTGTCAGAAAATCGATATAAAAACATTTTAGCATAATTTTAAACTCCAATTTTTAATAACAACATGATTGAGAATAATGGTATTAATTATCTATGATTATATAGTTTCATCGATTATCACTATTCTTCTAATATCGCAATAGCTTATATTTTAATCTTAAGGAGCTCTAATTTTGAGAGGAGAATTTAGTAATCAATCGGGCATCGACTTGAGGACATTATTTAAACAAAGAGGAAGTATCATTTTAGAGAACGATATGAAATTATAAAACGATGAAAATTGATTATTATGAATCATATATAATATATTATCATTTTCAGAATCAACTCTTGAGAATTAAAACAAATACATTGAAGAAATAGACACTTTATGATGCAAGTTAAAATGCAAACTAAATTCAATCAAAAATTTTAAGAAAGACTTATTGATATTGGATGCAGTAAATATAGGTCAATTTTAGAATCAATTTTGAAGATGTGGTATTTTATTGTCCATAAAGAATACAGATATTAAATTTATAACTCATTTCTCAATTCAATGAATAAGGGTGGAACCAAAGTATTTTTTCATTCACCAGTCGGTACAGTACCTGCATAGTTTTTTCATTCACCAATATCGATGCGGTACTTTTATAGTTTTTTCATTCACCAATATCGAGGCGGTACCTGCATATTTTCTTCATATGAATCCACATTAGCATCTTGTTCAGATAACACTATCCGTTTATGGGATATTAAAACAGCAAAAGAAGTAGGAGCCATTATTTTGAAAGGAATATTAGTAAATAGTTAAGTTAAGAATCTAAAACCAATATTCTATAGATAATTGAAACAAGATTGATAATTATTAAAAATCTGAATATTATTTAGTTATATTTGATTTAAATTTTTGATCAGCTGAATATATTTTTATAAGCTTGAAAGAACAATCGTGTAGAAATTTTATATTGGGTTTGGGTTTGGGTTTGGGTTTGGGTTTGGGTTTGGGTTGGGGTTTGGGATTTTTTTTTTTGATAAGCAATTTCTATTCATAAATGAATCAAGCCTTACTTCTTCTAATCCTTAGTATCCTTGTTAAATTGTAAAGGATCACCAAATTATGAAATTCGATAAAAGGAGCATGGCTGGAGATTCGAAAGAAAGTCTTTGATTAGAAGGATTAACAACCTTTTACTGTTTTCTTTACTCTATAAATTAATTATTTTTTAAATACTTTTGTGTCCAATTTTAATTTTTTTATCTGAAACCTGTATTCGAATTATTTTACAATTCTACTTAGAATTGTTTCGAAATTCCGCTGAAATCTATGAAGATATGGGGATTGCACAGGGTGAATAATTTACATCTGAATTGATTTGGATAAATGTTGATCTGATTTCACTTTTTTGGAATATCAAAAATTCTTATGTTTTGTAGTATTATGGTTCTATATAAATTTGATAAGAGAAATTAAAAATTATCTTAACAGTTATTAATTTCAACTTAAAAATTTGATTACAAGCCCAAGAGTTTATATTAAACATCTAAGGAAAAAGCATTTTTCACCAAAATTTAAGAATTTTTGTTTTTGTTGGCTCACTTAAGAAATATTAATACTTTTAGAAAAGGGGATAGGTCATAAATGATATCTGAAACTTTTAACAAAGAGATCATGTATTTTTGCATAAAGCTTTGATAAATAATTAAATGTAAGAATAATTTAAGAAACTCTATAATGTGTCAACGGATCTATAATAAGAAACATGACTTACAATTAATTGGAATTTTTCTTCTTAAAAATTAATATTATAGTTATAAATAATTAATTATAAATTGATTAATAATTTGTATGAATTTTCGATAAAGCCATTCCAACTAGTATTAAAGGTTTATTACCAAGCTTCCAACAAAGTTTTTTCCAAATCTTATACCTGAAATAATAAATAAAACAGGAAAGTAGACAAAAGCAGAAAAAATTGAAGAATTTGTTGAGATTTTTCAAGATTACTTTAAATACTTACTAGGTATAGAAAAAAATGAAGAAGAATTGCTGCATTCTGAGAATAACATAGGGAATTTTGATGATTACTTAAGCTAATTTGATGAACCTGAAGTTGTTCTGAGGTAATTCTCAATTATATAAAGTTTACCAAACCCAGATTACACATCCGAAGAATTTTAGCTATAATAAAAATAATATGAAATTGTTGATTAGATTGTACAAGCCTTAATTCTAGAGTAAAAATCTATTCAGGATAAATTATTTTTNAAGTTATATTAGAATGAGAATTGAAACTGATGTTCTTCAGTATCGATCAAAAAAATAATGTAACTTGATATAATCTTCGTAGAGATTATCCAGCTTGAATAAAGGTTCAAATTATAAATTGAATTTACTAATAAGTTCTTAAATATTACCGCAATATTACTTCCTAATTCTATTGAGTTTGATCAGACTAAATTTCTATAAAAATTCAAAACTAACCATTATGATGCGGTTTTGTTATGCTGTTGTTCTAGATTTTCTAATTTTATTTCTGTCTTAGAATGGAAAATTATATAATTTTCTATTTCCTTAATTGCATTTTTAAATACAGAAAAAAAATAGCAAATTTCTAGTTAGAGTAGGTTATGAGTCAATCAATCGATAATAAGCGATAAAAAGAAAGTAACCAATAAAGGTAGTAAATTGTTTTTATATACAATCCACTTAGAAGAATGCAATCAGAATTTCCATAAATCCATCTTCAAACTATTAATCCCTTTCAAATTCTTTACTAAAATGGTAGAATTTAGAAAATAAGGTAATTAAAATTCCTAAAACAATATTTAACTAATCTTCCGTTAACTCAGTATTTTAGAACCAAATTTTTCATAATAATAATAATTTCAGCATTCAAATTTAACATATTTGAATAATTAAGGAAGAGGATGTAAATGAATAACACAGATCAGTCTTAAATTCTGCTTAGACTATATTATAAATTGCTGAGGCGGAGAGGAGAAACATGACAACAGAAACATCAACTCAAATAAGGAACAGATATATTAGATGAAATCATATAGACTAAAAAGGTGATAAAGGATATAGAACTTAGTTTTATTCCAAAATTTTTAATTTTTAATTGAATCTTATTTGTTATAAAGGAACACTTAATTATCTAATAATTTTTTTTTTTTGATAAGCAATTTCTATTCATAAATGAATCAAACCTTGCTTCTTCTAATCCTTAGTAACCTTGTTAAATTTTAAAGGACCTTTTACTGTTTTCTTTACTCTATAAATTAATTACTTTTTAAATACTTTTGTGTCCAATTTTAATTTTTTTATCTGAAACCTGTATTCGAATTATTATACAATTCTACTTAGAATTGTTTCGAAATTCCGCTGAAATCTATGAAGATATGGGGATTGCATAGGGTGAATAATTTACATCTGAATTGATTTGGATAAATGTCGATCTGATTTCACTTTTTTGGAATATCAAAATTCTTATGTTTTGTAGTATTATGGTTCTATATAAATTTGATAAGAGAAATTAAAAATTATCTTAACAGTTATTAATTTCAACTTAAAAATTTGATTACAAGCCCAAGAGTTGTTATTAAACATCTAAGGAAAAAGCATTTTTCACCAAAATTTAAGAATTTTTGTTTTTGTTGGCTCACTTAAGAAATATTAATACTTTTAGAAAAGGGGATAGGTCATAAATGATATCTGAATCTTTTAACAAAGAGATCATGTATTAAGCATCTTTTTGCATAAAGCTTTGATAAATAATTAAATGTAAGAATAATTTAAGAAACTCTAAAATGTGTCAACGGATCTATAATAAGAAACATGCCTTACAATTAATTGGAATTTTTCTTCTTAAAAATTAATATTATAGTTATAAATAATTAATTATAAATTGATTAATAATTTGTATGAATTTTCGATAAAGCCATTCCAACTAGTATTAAAGGTTTATTACCAAGCTTCCAACAAAGTTTTTTCCAAATCTTATACCTGAAATAATAAATAAAACAGGAAAGTAGACAAAAGCAGAAAAAATTGAAGAATTTGTTGAGATTTTTCAAGATTACTTTAAATACTTACTAGGTATAGAAAAAAATGAAGAAGAATTGCTGCATTCTGAGAATAACATAGGGAATTTTGATGATTACTTAAGCTAATTTGATGAACCTGAAGTTGTTCTGAGGTAATTCTCAATTATATAAAGTTTACCAAACCCAGATTACACATCCGAAGAATTTTAGCTATAATAAAAATAATATGAAATTGTTGATTAGATTGTACAAGCCTTAATTCTAGAGTAAAAATCTATTCAGGATAAATTATTTTTAAAAGCAATCGAAATGGCATTCATTTAATTGTCTGATCGTAAGTCCTATTCTTTATTTGAGCAAAGAACAAGAGGGTTGGAAACTATTCCAAATGAGTAAAGAAACGCAATGAATTTATTAGGAACAAATTAACAAATATTTGATTAAAGTAACTAATTTTGTGGTTTTATTGAAAACAACAATAATAATCACAATTCATAAGATTTTTGGCTTTGTTAAAGAGAAACTTAGATTTAAAAAGCCGTTAACTAATTTAGGCAAGATTTATTGGAATTAGCATCTTAAAATAAATGGAATGTTTAAATGATTGCTCAACAAATTTAAATCGATTTTCAAAAAATTCAATAATAATATTAGAAAGCATTTATTCAAGGAGAATATTTAAGATTGGTCCAATCTTAATGGAATAAAACTATGAATGAAACCTCTGACCTTTTAACATTAGTAAGGAATATTTTAATAGTGTAATTTTCCAGAAAAGGATTTATGGTCAGATCAATTATTTCTGAAGATGGATCAAAAATATATCTCTTACTATATATGCCTGAATAAATGTTAGAAATAGCTGCTGAAAATTGTTAGCTTTAGAAAAAATTGTGTTTTTGTTTCTCAGATTTATTTTCCCTCGAGCCAGTTGATAAATAATTAAGACCCCTACGATTAAATGGCAGATTATGGAAGCCAGATGAATATAGTATTTCTTCATACTTATAATATTTAAGACCATTAATTATTGAGTAAGTAATGCAAATAAATTTTAAGAGATTAGCTAGAGATGTGGGTTAAAGTAACATAAATAATGAATTATTTGAATATGGGAAAATTAACTTCTATGTAGATTAAGAAGGTCCAAGCAGAATATTTTTTTCGGTACCGCTGTATTTTTAATTCTATTACACTAAACTCTAAAGTTATTATTAACAATAATTAATGTAAAAAGGAGAATTAAATAGATGAAGAAAAGAGTTATTCAAGCAAAAACTTTCTGTCATTTATTGAAAATTAAGAATCTAAAACTCCTTTTTAGCAGACTCAAGAAAAATATGGTATTATTGATGAATATATGAAATTTTTTTTATTATCAACCTTGATCAATATGTTTGGTGGATTATTCCTATTAAGTTTTACTTTATTTTGGATATGGATGATCATATAGTTTTAAATTGTAAAATTTAAACTTTTATATTCAATATAAAGGCCTTGGCCAAAAGGAGATAGTTCCTTAGGAATTTGGTTTGAAATACATTAATTTTATTAGTTTACTAAGTAATTCTAGTTTAATATGTGTTTATTATTACAAATATCTCTAGGATGATGTTATTTAGCTATTTGTTACTTTATTATTTTATAATTTCTTTATCAAATATATTACTAACACAACATTTTTAAGTCCTCCATTAATACTTGAATATATAGTAAAGAGAGGCTAATACATATATTAGAATAATATTAAAATCCTTACAAATAGAAATAGTCGAAGAGAATAAGAGAATAAAGTACTTTTATAAAGATGCCCGTTATATAAAGTATTTGGATCGAATGGCATGCAAAGAGCAGATTATTTTGAAACAATTAGTTCCGATGATGAAATTTTAGATCATCAGAGAAAAAAAATTTAGTTGATTTCTTAAGGATTAGTTGAACAGGAAACAAATTATCTCATCTCAAAGGCAGAAATAATTTAAAATGAAGATCATGTTAAACAAACTGAAAGCCCAATTAACTCAAATTCTTCAAAAATCTCAAATTCTAGCCCTTTAAATACTGTCTCTAGTCCTATATTTACAGTATCAAGTTCAAGGTAAAACAACAGAATGAAAAGTATTATTGATCCTTTTGAGAGCACAGCCTAGATATAAAATTCAGCAGAGGAAATTTAAAAATTAGGGAAAGGTAAATTTTAGTTTATGATTACAGAAATAATCAAAAAATTGTAATAAGTAGATAAATTAGACTATTAGTTTTTTTATAACTATTATAAAAAGTGTTCAATGAACTGGGCATTTTAAATATAATCTTGTCAATCAGGAACTAAATAGTTAATCAGGGACAGAACAATTATATGGAGATTTTTTTTCCGACTTCAATTATTATCCTCTTATAACATGCTATGGAATGATTATAGATTGGTTTAAAGTTAATCTTATATTAGAAGAAAATAAAAAGCATTACATAATCTGGATTATAAGAGATTTCAAATATTAAAGTAAAGTTTTGAGAATCAAAATAAATACTTTAAAGCCCAAGCAGCTTTAAAATTTAGTAAATAGTTTAGATAATTTGGGAATTAACTTAATTTGGAAGAAAGAAAAGAATATAATGAGCTAGTTCTAAAATATAATAAATTTATTGAAAAAAAATCATGGCTAAATTGTAGAAAAGTAACCATATTCAGATACAAGGGTTTATTTTTTAGGGGATTTCGGAAACAAAGTATAAGAAAATAGGCCATATAATTTGTTTTAGAATACTATGAAGCAACTAAAAAGTTGGAGGAAGCTCAAAATGGGTCAGATATACATAAAAAATTTAACAATTTAGTCTAATATACGCAATTAAATTAATATACATTAGAATTGTTTATAGAATTATTTAATAAATTAGAATATGAGTATAAAAATTTGATATTTATATAGGTAAAAAACTAGTTATATATTTCCTTCAGTTAACGGGAGAATTTAATAAAAAAATTATTATCTAAATTCTTTAAAATCAGAAGTGTTTAAAAATATCATCGATAAATCTAAAGACACATATATATTTGAGTAATATTCTACCAAACTAGAAGAGTTTGTTTTATAATATTGCTTAGATGAAATGAATTAAATTCCTAAGCTAACAATGAAAAAGCATCTTCACGATATTCTCTGGATTGTTGAAGTTGAGGATTAAGAATATTTAATGTAATTTTTCCAAATAAAGCATGGATAATAATTGTAGTTTTTAAAGCATTATAACACTGGATTAGGAGTCTTTGTTAGCGAAAGCAAGAATTACATCAGATTACTCAATATCATCGATTAAATTGATGATTTTTTAATAAAAGCTTATTGTGTATCCTTATACCCTTGTTTAGATTGTAAAACTCTATATTAAGTAATAAAATTTAGAAAAAAGCATTCCCTTCATTACACAATAGATTAACTAATGTAATTTTTGTATGCAAATTTAATTATACTATCAAAGGGTATTGTAAACAGCCTTTCAATTTACACTTATGCTTTAAATAATAATGAATATATGATTTTAAATTCTATTGAACAAGAGGACAATCCGGTATTCTAGTTAGTCCAAGTTGTTTTGGAGATGATATCGCTTGACCCTATTGAAAATTTGGGGGAGGCTCTTNACCTTGATCAATATGTTTGGTGGATTATTTCCATTAAGTTTTACTTTATTTTGGATATGGATGATCATATAGTTTTAAATTGTAAAATTTAAACTTTTATATTCAATATAAAGGCCTTGGCCAAAAGGAGATAGTTCCTTAGGAATTTGGTTTGAAATACATTAATTTATTAATTTTATTAGTTTACTAAGTAATTCTAGTTTAATATGTGTTTATTATTACAAATATCTCTAGGATGATGTTATTTAGCTATTTGTTACTTTATTATTTTATAATTTCTTTATCAAATATATTACTAACACAACATTTTTAAGTCCTCCATTAATACTTGAATATATAGTAAAGAGAGGCTAATACATTTATTAGAATAATATTAAAATCCTTACAAATAGAAATAGTCGAAGAGAATAAGAGAATAAAGTACATTTATAAAGATGCCCGTTATATAAAGTATTTGGATCGAATGGCATGCAAAGAGCAGATTATTTTGAAACAATTAGTTCCGATGATGAAATTTTAGATCATTAGAGAAAGAAAATTTAGTTGATTTCTTAAAGATTAGTTGAACAGGAAACAAATTATCTCATCTCAAAGGCAGAAATAATTTAAAATGAAGATCATGTTAAACAAACTTAAAGCCCAATTAACTCAAATTCTTCAAAAATCTCAAACTCTAGCCCTTTAAATACTGTCTCTAGTCCTATATTTACAGTATCAAGTTCAAGGTAAAACAACAGAATGAAAAGTATTATTGATCCTTTTGAGAGTACAGCCTAGATATAAAATTCAGCAAAGGAAATTTAAAAATTAGGGAAAGGTAAGTTTTAGTTTATGATTAACGAAATAATCAAAAAATTGTAATAAGTAGATAAATTAGACTATTAGTTTTTTTATAACTATTATAAAAAGCGTTCAATGAACTGGGCATTTTAAATATAATCTTGTCAATCAGGACCTAAATAGTTAATCAGGGACAGAACAATTATATGGAGATTTTTTTTCCGACTTCAATTATTATCCTCTTATAACATGCTATGGAATGATTATAGATTGGTTTAAAGTTAATCTTATATTAGAAGAAAATAAAAAGCATTACATAATCTGGATTATAAGAGATTTCAAATATTAAAGTAAAGTTTTGAGAATCAAAATAAATACTTTAAAGCCCAAGCAGCTTTAAAATTTAGTAAATAGTTTAGATAATTTGGGAATTAACTTAATTTGGAAGAAAGAAAAGAATATAATGAGCTAGTTCTAAAATATAATAAATTTATTGAAAAAAAATCATGGCTAAATTGTAGAAAAGTAACCATATTCAGATACAAGGGTTTATTTTTTAGGGGATTTCGGAAACAAAGTATAAGAAAATAGGCCATATAATTTGTTTTAGAATACTATGAAGCAACTAAAAAGTTGGAGGAAGCTCAAAATGGGTCAGATATACATAAAAAATTTAACAATTTAGTCTAATATACGCAATTAAATTAATATACATTAGAATTGTTTATAGAATTATTTAATAAATTAGAATATGAGTATAAAAATTTGATATTTATATAGGTAAAAAACTAGTTATATATTTCCTTCAGTTAACGGGAGAATCTAATAAAACAATTATTATCTAAATTCTTTAAAATCAGAAGTGTTTAAAAATATCATCGATAAATTAAAAGACACAAATATATTTGAGTAATATTCTACCAAACTAGAAGAGTTTTTTTTATAATATTGCTTAGATGAAATGAATTAAATTCCTAAGCTAACAATGAAAAAGCATCTTCACGATATTCACTGGATTGTTGAAGTTGAGGATTAAGAATATTTTAATGTAATTTTTCCAAATAAAGCATGGATAATAATTGAAGTTTTTAAAGCATTATAACACTGGATTAGGAGTCTTTGTTTGCGAAAGCAAGAATTACATCAAATTACTCAATATCATCGATTAAATTGATGATTTTTAATAAAAGCTTATTGTGTATCCTTATACCCTTGTTTAGATTGTAAAACTCTATATTAAGTAATAAAATTTAGAAAAAAGCATTCCCTTCATTACACAATAGATTAACTAATGTAATTTTTGTATGCAAATTTAATTATATTATCAAAGGGTATTGTAAACAGCCTTTCAATTTACACTTATGCTTTAAATAATAATGAATATATGATTTTAAATTCTATTGAACAAGAGGACAATCCGGTATTCTAGTTAGTTCAAGTTGTTTTGGAGATTATATCGCTTGACCCTATTGAAAATTTGGGGGAGGCTCTTAAAACCATTGAACACCCTTTATTGTCCTTTTTGATGGATATATTATACAATGATTTAACACCTAGTTAGGCCTTAGAAACAATGCAAAAATTGGATCCATTCTCAGATATTAATTTTTAATTTAATCTCAATTTAAAAGATTTATCGTATTAATTCTATATCGAAAATATGAAGCACCAAATCAGTTTTCACCTTAGAATGAAATAATTTTAATAATCAATCCAATTGATTCAGAAAGCAGAAGATTATTTGGCAACGTAACATAATGTACAAACTATTAATTTTATGGAAAAATTCTTAGAGATACAAACATAGATTCTAAAACCCAGTGAAATTAAGAAGATTTTGGATACATTATTAATATTTTATTTTAAATTATCTGCTCTTTTTGGTTTGAAGCAGTCGAGCAAAACAGTCGCGCTTCCACCC